CTCTCTCTCTCTCTCTCTCTCTCTCTCTCTCACACACACACAAAGGTCTTCAGAGATTGTATGTAGTTTACTCTGTTCAGTCTGCAGATAACCAGGCGTCACAGTGTCATTCAGCACAGAGTGCGCACGCTTTGAAAAAGAAAAAGAAATAGATACTATAAATTTGCTGACTGGAGATTATCTGAACAACAATTTCATTAGAGTTTAGCATAAAAACTAAAGGCTCCTCAGCTGTTCTGCTTGACTGACTAAAGATGCTCACAGACATTACAGAAGGAGAATTTGATATCAAAGAGGAAGAACCATGGTACGATCATCAAGATCTGGAACATGGTGAGTTATCTTTATCTGACGTACTGTAAAAGTTCAGGTAATAATACTTTTTAAATGAAAATGTGGAAGAAGAACTCTAGAATATTTTGTTAACAATACGGTGATTAAGAATGCACCTTCATTCAGTCTCCATTTAATCGTAGTCTTCATCGAATGTATTTTGCTGATGATGATTGAAGGAAGTGTGTTTTGTGACTCTCCATCACATGCTGACAGGATGACATGACAGTCTGTTTGACAAGAGAGAGTGAAATCAGCTTTGTAATGAACTGATGCGATAATCAGATCGCTTTCTCAGTTTCCTGAGTTGTGACCTTAGGTGAAGAAGAAGGAGAAGTAACTAAACACTCCTAGTGACAGAGATAACCTGATGTCCAAATGATTGCACCATCAACCAGATTTACAAATACTGATATGCATAAATTAAAATGGTTCAAAACCAGTGTTTTTTTCAGTTTTGGTTGCTCATTAGATGCGTCCTTCTCTTCATGCAGATCTTCATTTGGCCGCCGAATTGGGTAAAAATTTATTGGAGCAGAACAGAGACTTAGAAGAGACGCTCCAACAGATGTACATCAGCAACCAGGAACAGATACAGGAGATAGAGGTACTGCTATCAAGCGATCGATTTATCTATTTCTGACCAAACTCTCTGTTTTGAGTTAATGAAAACCTTCATATGCACAGAAAAGCAGTCTTTTATTGACACAGTTCCTCTAGCTACATCTTCTGCATTATCAAGTGATTTTATGAGTGTATAAATCTTTGTCTTATCTTAAAAGGCAATCAAACTTATTTGTGACTTATTTGTTTTAAGTCGCTGGGGTATATTTGTAGCAATAGCCAACAATACATTGTATGGGTCAAAAAAATTGACCCTTATTACTTATGGTTTTGTGCTCCAGGGTCACATTTGATTTGCATTTTGCTAAGAATAACTGAGGAAAAGCCTTTAAATTGTCCTTAAGCTGATGCAGTTAAAGCTCAGGTATCTGAACCCGTTTGATTGTAGTTTAATGTTTCTTTCTCTTTGTTCAGTATCTTTCTAAACAGGTGGATTTGCTGAGGTCAGTGAACGATCAGCACGCTAAAGTCTATGAGCAGCTGGATTTAACCGCACAAGACCTGGAGCTGAAAAACCAGCGACTGGTGCTGGAGAACAGAGCAGCTCAGCTGAAGATCGAAGGGTAAGACTTCAGAAATGATTGTAAATGAATGCATCAAGCGAAGGATGGTATACTTTCAATTGCGTTTCTCCTGATCGCAGGCTCACAGAGACGGTGGAAGGGCTGCAGACTCAGGTGGAGGAGCTCCAGAGAGACATGCAGAAGCCGAAGCTGGTTTCTGATGAACAGGCCCGGTCCAGTGATTGTGATAGAGTTCAGTGCAAGGAGACCTGTCAGTTACACGAGTAGGTTTTTGCAACACATTTTTGTGCATTTTAACTCGCCACTGTGTTTTGTGCTACAGTAGGTCGAGTCCGTGAAACTAGTGGCCTTTAAACAGTCACGGTCAAGAAGAACTTCCTTCCCACACATTTATATTCCTGCCTGACTCGGCTTAATCTGCTGGAGTTCACGCGGGCAGGGTTGTATGACGCAAGAAAAGGAAAATATGCTATATATTTAGTTGCATGTACATTCGCAACGTTATTTCTCACAATGCTGACTTCTCGCAATTCCAACTTTATTTCTTATATTTGCAAATTTGATATCTCAGAAGTATGACTTTATTTCTCAAAGTGGTAACTTTATACTGTAGCTTTATATCTAACAATTGAGACTTCATTTTTTGCAATTGTGACTTTATTTCTAACAATTGTGACAATTTTTTGTAATTGCGACTTTATATCTAACAATTGAGACTTCATTTTGCGCAACTGTGACTATTTCTAACAATTGCGACTTCATTGTTTGTAATTGCGACTTTATTTTTCGTAATTGCAACTTTATATCTAACAATTGCATCTTCATTGTTTGTAATTGCGACTTTATATCTAACAATTGTGACTATTGTTCGCAACTGCAACTTTATATCTAACAATTGCGACTTTATATCTGACAATTGTGACTTCATTTTGCGCAGCTCTGACTTTATTTCTAACAATTGCGACTTCATTGTTTGTAATTGCAACTTTATATCTAACACTTTACTTTAGGTCCTATCCTTCAGTTTTTCTCATCGAATATCCTGTTTCATTCTGAAATACGTTAAAATAGGCTGCAAACTGCAATTCATGTCGACTTTAAAGTCTGGTTTAGTTGATCTCAGAAAAAGTAAATATTTTACCTAATATTTTAGTCTATACAACTCCAGATTTCAGTAAAATGCAATCTTTTGAATTAATTTATACCATTATGATTCTCATATATTCGATCCTCAGTTATCTGACTAACGGCTCTGATTTCTTCTCACCATGCTGCATGTATTTCAGGTGCTTTTCCCATGAGCGCTCTGTTTCCACCAGCAGCTCGTCTCTGAAGCGTGAGGAACAGGACGAGCTCTGGGAGCTCAAGCGCTCGGTTGATTCCCTGCAGGCGCAGCTGAGCACAGAGCGCGCTCAGAGAGAGGCGGCCGAGCTGGAAACTGATGCTCTGGCGCATGAACTCATCCAGCTGGAGCCCAGAGCAGCGCTGCTGGGAGTCTACAAGGAGCGCCTGGCCGAGACGGAGGCTGAAGTGCAGGAGCTCCGCCTGCTTTTGCGCTCGAGCAAAGACAACGTGGACCTCCCATTGGATGATGAAGCGGGCGGGGCCGGACACAGGGGGCGGAGCCTGCGGTGCTGCAGCAGCGAGAGGCAGTTGCTAAGCAACGAGCAGCCTGAAGGGCAGCATCATGGGATCTCTCTGCTGAACGAGATGGATGCTCAATACGCCGCCCTGCAGGAGAAATACGACACGCTGCTGCGCCGCTGCCAGGATGGGAAGTTGTCCGAGAACCAAAAAACTGCTCAAACGCACACAAACACCAAGAACGATTCCCAGCAGCCCGAGTACAAGGCCCTGTTTCAGGAGATTTTCAACTTTATCCAAAAGAGCAAAAAGGACCTGAAGGAGAACAGGATCAAGCCCAGTCAGGCTGAATGAGGCACTGATCTGCATCTATGTCTGAACTGAGGGAATTATACTGACAGGACTAGGATGGTGTGATACCACACATTACTCTCTGCTTTTATTGCCACTTTTATTGTCTGGTGAGTGTATATAAAGCACTTTTGTAAATACTTCCAAATGTCACTGTGAAACAAAAAGCTGTAAACTTAAATGTACTGGAAATCTTTGTGTATTTATAGTGGGATGAATCTCAACAAAGACATTTCCAGGTTATATATTACCACATAATCAGTAGAAAAAAAAAATATATATTAGTATAAATCAATACAATAAATAAAAATACAGTAAAGCCTTTTTAAAGCCAAACTATTTTAATGAACATTAACTAATGATCTGTGAAGAAGAACAATATAATAAAATTGGGTTGTTGTGATGCTGTAATGTTTACTGATGTTTTACTTAGTAAATCATTCTGCCCAGAAACAATTAAAGCAATTAAAAATCACTGTAAATTAAAGGCAAAACATTAGATGAACACAAACATGCACAGATGTTTTACTATTTAAGTATATCATTTATACATATATTAATGTATTATTACCCTCTAACTCTATAGCACTCTATTCTAATTCTATTCTAAAAAAAAACACGTGTCCCTTTTAGACTTGCACTCTATTCATTTGCTGATTTAAAAAAAAACAACTAACACTTGCTTTCTAATCTTTTTGTATTCTATCTGTTTTCTTTTTATTTATTATATTATTTTATAAAAACCTTGCTATGTGTACTGCGTTAAGCTGAGACTCTCTTGTTAGTTTTGATCGCTTCTGTTGTCCTCGCTTTGGATAAAAGCATCTGCTAAATGACTAAATGTAAATGTAAACGTAAATATCATATTTTGTCTGCATTACAGTAATGTGAAAGAGTGAAAATAATGAAATGCAGTTATCAAATTGATATAAAAATAGACTATTTTCTTGTGAATATTGAGATTTATATTTAAATATTTACAACAGCTTTGTAAAATTAAGTCTAGTATGCTTTAGTCATAACTGGTCCGTGCATTTGTTGCATCTGTTAAAGGAAATCCATTATCTTGAAGATGTCAAACTTTTACTTTCAGTCTTCACCTCGTTGTCAGGTCGTGTTAGTATCATTCATTCATAACTCCACAACAGGGCAAGAAAGTGTCTTTTATCGTGTGAACTTTCAGCTGTTCATCTTTCAACTTTATTCTGCATATAAATGGACTTTCGACCCAGATTGTGGTCGTCAGAGAACATGGTCTTCAGTCCCGGTGGAAAGTCTGCTTCTAATCTAAGCCCCTGATAAGATTTGAGTGACAATGTATTTATCAGGCGGACATCTTCAGACTTCAGACATTATACCGGAGATGACACTAAAATGGAAAAATTAAAAAGGTATAATGTATTATAAGCAGCACATCTGCTTACTTAGACACTGGGTAGAAACTGATATACAATATGGAAGAATTGACCCATTTTGAGACCATTTCTAGCATATTGTGAAAAATATCAATGAAGTACTGTAATCAATAATCAGTGATTATATGTAAATGATTAACCTCAAAAACAGAATGTATTATTATTGTATTTCTTTAATACTATATGAAATATTTTCTTGAAAATCAATCATAAAAATAAAGTACAACGTTATAATTTGACATTATAGTAATTTTTGGGCATTTAACGGAGCTCAAGTGTTTCTCAGTTTGAGTGTCGCTTTTGTATTAACCTTGTAAATTCAGTGCAATATGTAAATATGCTATTTAGTATATACTGCTTAATTTCTTTATGATGTAAAATAAACTAAAAATAAAAAGTTAAGTCTTGCAATTTTAATTTTCGCTAAATGTCCTAGTTACACATTTTTATTAGATATAACAGTAATTTATGCATAATTATATCCAACTATCCCTAAACCCAACCAAACCCCATATTAACTAAATAATTAGTATTATTTTGTATTTAATTGCATAACTGCAACAAGGGCTCCTTAATATAAAGCGCAACCTAATTTTCTTTATACAATGCAGATTGTTTCAAAGCAGCTTCACATTAACAAACAAGAAAATAAAAGAGTTAATGTTGTAAAATACATCAATTTCAGCTGTAGAGAAGACAAAAGCATCATTACTCGGATCAATTCATATTTTGTTCTCATCCGATAATATCAGCTCAGTCAAATCAATAAAAATTTGTCTTTTGTAGGGAAAAATTAAATGAGAAACTTTGAAGACAAGATGTCAGTTGCAATGTTTATTCAGAATGACACAAATAAAAAAGGTCAGATTTGGGGTTTTCAGCGGTGGACTTGGCAACGATGATCCAGAATATGAATATGTGGAATGCTTAATAAACAGAACTTGAACGCTTCATATGCACGTGTGGAAGAGACACAGACAGAGACAGTTATATATGTGCATGTGAAGATGATTTCAGTCATAACTGCGAGATTGCAAATCATATTGATACAATATTTCCCCTGAATAATTAAGAGGCACTTTTTCACACCCAAACACAGTTTAGCCACTTCAACAAAACTCCCAGGTCCTCAGTTTCACTTGCATAACAAGAGAAAAAAAAAAAACATTATGCATTTTTTTATTTTCGTAAGAAATTAATGTCTAAATTGCTTCCGCATTTATTCAGAATGCCATAAATGCTCTGAAATAAAATGGACAAGGTTGCAAATATAAATTCAATGCAAACGTCATTCAGAGCTTCGCATTCTGATGCAAATCTACCATCAGGTCCAATAAACATTCATCGATTCATATATTCGATTTTCAGGGTTTGAATGGATCTAAACTGCTCCAGAATCAACCGTGTCCAAATGTTTTGTCCTTTTTTTGTTGTTGTTGTCACAGAGCTGTAAACACTTCAGCGGGAGCTTCACAGCCTTCACTTGAGCAGAGAAATTAATATTTCAGAGGATTCATTATGATCTAGTGTTTCTTTGGGTTACAGTGAAGTCAGGGAAAAATAAACTTAATATGCAATAAAAATCAAGGAAATTATTAAATCAAACATCTTTTTTTCAGTCAGCTTAATGTAATAAACAAGGCCGAAAAGCTCCCGAAGGCCACAAGCAGGATAAAATGAGATGAACCATGATCTCCTGTCATACTTTCATATTAAATCATGAAAAAGAAACCAAAAGAAAACCAGCATTAACTGATAGTCTGCTTATGTGTTCAGCACACAACTCCTTTCCTTAGACTTTAATTTCCCGCAAATGCAGGATCGAATGGATCTTTAACCCTTTTCGTGAGATGCTGATGTGACCAGAGGTAACGTATGCGGAGGCTCCGGAAGTGGGCGTGTCCTCGAGGGCAGTGATTGGTTGGTGTGTGTTGGCTCCGCCCCCCTGTGCAGCGTTCCCTCTCACTTAAACCTTGGGGGGGACGTGTGATTGACAGGATCTCCGGCGCTCCTGCTGTCCCGTCAGGAGGGAACGGTTCCCTTCAGATACCACATCCCTCCCAAACTCGTGCAGCACTCCTGAACAGCACACAGCAGTTATCAGCACATTCTCGCTTCAACAATCACTAATCATTTTCCTTCATTCAGATGACTGGAGAGGCTTTCAGGCTCCAGTTATATTCTGCACTTACCACACATCATGCATTACTAGCAGATGGTCTAAGACTAACGATGACAGTCACAGACCGATTACATTGGTGTTTTTTAAAGGGGTATTTTTATTATTTTCTGGTAGCCTAAAATTATGTATTAATATGTAGGGTTTTTCTTAACTTTAAAATGCCTATGTAAAAATAAGAATAAATTAATTAATTTTATCATCTTTTCTCCTTCAATTTCTGAATGTTTCATTTAATTGATTTATTGCTTGTAATTTGTTATTTATTTATGCATGCATTTACTTTACTTTTCTGACTACTACTTGGAAAACCAAATGTTTACTTGAAATATACATACCA